TGTGGTGTTGGAGAAGACTCTTGAGAGTCCCTTGGACTGCAAGGAGATCCAACCAGTCCATCCTAAAGGAGATCAGTCCTGGGTGTTCATTGGAAGGACTGATGCTGAAGTTGAAATTCCGATACTTTGGCCACCTGATGTGAAGAACTGACTCTGGAAAAGACCCTGATGCTGGAAAAGATTGAAGGCAGGAGGAGAAGGGGACAACAGTGGATGAGATGGTGTCAGTGACTCAATGAACCTGAGTTTGAGTAAGCTCCAGGAATTGGTGATGGACAGGGAGGCCTGGCGTGCTGCAGTCCATGGGGGTCACAAAGAGTCGGACACGACTGAGTGACTGAACTGAGAAATTAAACATAGAAAATATAATTTTATAGTGGATTCACACAGAAATAGAAGTGATCGAATTAAGGAAGAGTTGACTTAGTTTCAGTATCTATGCCGTGACACATTCCCATTCAATAGCAGAAATAAACACCATACTATTAAATTGTTTTCTCTCTCTTTTACCTTTTACTTGCTTTTTCTTTTGCAGAGGATATATTTTTGAATGTTAAGGCTGTACACATAAGACAGCTGTTTATATGAAATGCCTTTTTTTCTTGTGTCATATCTAATATTCATTGCCACCCTTCAAAATCTCTTCCCAAATAACATCTTAGTAAAGCTTTTTTCTGAGCCTTTCAATCACACGTATTTTCTCGCTCTCTGAAATTCCATAGCACTCTGTGATGGTTATATGGCTTTTATCTTATCCTTTTTTTATAGAACATTTGTCAGTACTAGACTTATTGCTCCACAAGGTCAGGAATTTTTCTTTCCATTTTTTTCTACAGTGTTCAGTAGCTAGACAGGTACAAAATACTCAATAAATATTTACTGAATTAAAATGAAGTCAAATGTTAGAGAAATAAATATGTATGTTTTATACAGTGTAAAAATTACAGAAAGATTACATTTCAAAAGCCAGTATTATAAAAAATCATATTTTTAAATAAATCTATTTGGAATTTTTCAAAGATTCACTTCTCTTTATACCCATATTCTTGATGTTAACGGCCAGTCATATCCCAGAACAGAAATAGTCCTGTAATAGACTGTTGTCTCTCATTAGGTCAAAAGAAAGTTAAGCAGTTTACAAATTAATAAATCTCTCTCTCACTTTTTTTTTTAAATAGCCAAAACAGTTTAACAGAGAGAAGCAAAATCTGTAAGTGACAGTATGAAATCAGGAAAGCAACACATATTCTAATACCTTTTAGGAACCCTTAGTTTTCCTATACCTGTTGATTTTGTACTGACTTTTAACCTCAACTATGTATCTCAAGGCTACACAAATCAAAATAGTCCTTACAATGTCCTGAGTGTATGAGAGCACCAATGTGATTTAAGTGATTATAGTAGCTTCCATAATACCAGTAGCTGACTTTTGCTATTATCTGTTTGTTGTCATTGCTATCGTTGCTCAGCCATTCCTATTCTTTTTGCTCAAAGGACAAAACTACAATTTCCACAAGAGTCTTGCACATTCAAGTAGTGGACAAGTTTTGATGGTCATAAAATAGAAATTTAACTTATCATACCTGGAGTATCATCTTACCTTCCTTTTGTATAAAAATTAAAACTAAACAAGAAAGGGAAAAGCAATTGTTTCAAACATCCCCTGCAAAATACCTGGGAAGAAAAAGCTATTGAAACTTGTAGATTTTATCTAAGCTGTTTATTCATATTTATTCATATCTCTTGTAACATAGCAAGACTAACTATATTATAAACTCCTTAGGGACAGGGAATGGCTTATGACTTTTTTATATCACCTAAAGTCTCTTGGAAAATATAAGGTACAGAGTAACATCTGTATCTGTAGAAACTATCAGACTTTGTGGCATGTGTTATATGTTTCATATTTATCATTTTAAGGTGAGATAGTATTTTTTGAAAAATTATGCAGAAGTATAGTGGAAGGGAAAATAAAGTAACACAAAAGGTTTTAATGAAAAATTAATCTCTCTTACTCCCATGTACCTTAAGACTTCCTCACCAGAGGCAATCACTTTTAATTATTTTCTGTGTAGACCTTCATAAAGAATTCATGTAGAGACAAGCCTATATATGTGCTTATATTGACATATGTATGGAAATATAGTCACACCTATTGCTAAACAGATAGTCCTAACATAAAAGAATATCTACAGCATACTCAGTTGTAGGCCCTTTTTATTAACATGATAGGGAGATTGTTTTATTTTAACTTATGCAGAATTATCTCATTCTTTTTCACTTGGGTATATAATTTCAATGTATGGATGCGTTGTAATTGATGTTGCCAGTCTTGCAGTCTGAATTTAACTTGCTACCAGACTTTTGCTAATATAGACAAAGCAGCAACACAGATGCTCGTTTATGTATCTTTGTACATTTGGGCATAATATACCAATGGAAAAATATTCTAAAATTAGAACTACAGTGGTGAAAAGTTGATATATCTTTCATTACTAGATTTCATAATATTGCCTTACAAAGAAATGATCCCAATCTGTAGCCCCTTTAACACCGGTGTTGTTTTTCATACCCCTGTCAAATTTATCTTTGTGTTACACAGCTTTTTAATCATAATCCAAGAGAGGAAAAATGCTATCAAATTGTTGTTTTTATTTTTTTTAATTGAAAGATGTTTTTAACTCCATATGTTGATAAGCTATTTTGATTCATTATAAACCTTGCACTTATACTGGTTTATTGATTTTTATCTTATTGATTTATAGAAACCTTTTCTATTTCAAAGTAATGTACCTTTTTCATCAAATATAGTGATTTCTTTTTCTGTTTTATTGACTTTATTTTGGCTTTATAGATGGATTTTATTGTTCAATATGGACAGTATTAAGTTTATCAACTTGTCCTTTATGCTCTCTGTGTTTGTATAATGACCATTTCAGGGTTTTGTTTTAACAGCTATTTTATTCTAGAATGTTTTTGCTTTCATCATTTTTGTTTTAAAACACTTACTTCTTTGATTTGTCTTTAATTTATTTTGGTGTAAATATTGAGTGAAGATTCAGCCTTTTATTTTTCTCCAGGTGGCTCATCAATAATCCTAACAGAATTAATTTTGTGATTACTTATTCTCTACTATTTTGAATTGTCAATTTTTGTGTATTAAAACCACATAGATAAGTGACTTTACTTCTAATGTCACTATGCTATTTAATTATTGATGCATACTTATACTCCATTATGACAAAATTTAACTAATATTACTTTTAAAACATGTCTAAATATTTGGCATATAAAGTTCCTACTCAGCAAACTGTCTGTATTTTTTAGAAGACGCCCCATAATATTTGCAATTTTATTTTCTTAAGTTTAGGATAAGTTCATGGGATTAAAATAATAAAATTAAAATTGGGATAGAACTAATTTGAGGAAAAATAATACCTTTCTATTAATATATTTTACTCTCTGAAATCAAACTATGTCTTTATTCAAGGCTTCTTTTGAGTTTTTTAAAATAAACTTTTGATGTTTTTCATACAAATAATACACAGTTCTTGTAGTTTAACCCAAAATACTTTGTGTTGTTGTAGATTTTTTGGCTGACATTTTCTTCTGCTGTATTTATATACATGGAATCTATTGATTTTTGTAGCATTTTTGAAACTATCTACATTTTTTTAAATTCTCAGTTTCTTATAGTGCTAACTTAGTTTTACTGATTTATAATTATGCAGTTGTATTAACTTCATGTAATGATATTATTTTCTAGTTTTATACCTCATGTCTTTCTACTATCTAATTGCACTATGTAATATTTCCAGGTAATATAAAATATTAACTTTGTTTTAGCTATAATGTTAAGGGAAAATTTATAATATTCTTCTATTTATAATCAGTCATTAATGAAATATTCATCCATTCTTTTTTGAGAATATTTTGATAAATAATGTTGAATATTATAAAATATAATATTCCATATTGTATATTCTATACAATAATTTATATTACATGTGGAACTGATCATTTATGTTTTTCTCTTATTTAACATATAATAGCATGGAAAATTTCTAACATATTTCTATAAATAAAGCATCTTTTCACCAGTATTCAAGTACATTAAAATTCAATAGGCTTAAGTTTGAAGAAGACCTTTAAATACATAGTGACACTTAGACATATACAATTTAATATTTTTCCATTTTCTTTTTATTTGCCCCACTTATTTTATGAAATGTTGGTATGTAATCAGCTAATAACTAGCATTTACCCTTTTAGGTAGATTTTTTTATTTTCATTTCACCTTAATATTGTATAATTGAGAAAACACAATTTTAATTAGAAGAAAAATAAAAATATTATGGAAAGGAATACTTTTCAATAAAGCAATTTTGATAGACAAAAAACATTGCTTTTCAGGAATTTCACATATTCGCTTTTGAAACATTCTGGCTAAATAATATTTTTTTTTCTTTCAAAGTCAATAAAGAAAATATATTTCTCTAAATTTTGTCTGTATATATCTTAATTACTAAAATGTTTAGTAACATTTTATATTCTTCTGTGAAAGGGCATGTACATAGTCTAAATATGAGAAGTTGATGTCTTAAGGTTATAAATGTAATGACAGAAACATTGTCACCTTAAAAAATAAAGCATTTACTTAATTTTAGAGCTCCAGAAGACACTGATAGCATTTATCTAAATTTAGGACTCTGAAAGGGACTTGTACTACTATAAATTAGTTATACTCTTTTTTTTTTCTTTTTAATAGAGTAAATCAATAACTTGAAACTAAAGAAAGTATCAAGGCTTTCATGCTAAGAACACTGTTAACAAACAAGACAAGTACTACTCATGTCTTTGTGAAAATAAGCTGTCAAACTGTCACCAAATAGATTTCTTGGTAATAGCAATTTGTTCTGCTCTGACTGAAGACAATGATCCTCATTATTACCATGGCTTAATTGCAAAAATTAAATGCATGTTGTTTCTATTTTCTTAAGGGAGATGCATCAGCAAAGCCTGGGTCTGTGATGGAGATATTGATTGCGAAGATCAATCAGATGAAGATGATTGTGACAATTTCTTGTGTGGACCACCCAAGTACCCTTGTGCTAATGACACCTCAGTCTGCCTGCAGCCAGAGAAACTCTGCAATGGGAGACGGGATTGTCCCGACGGGTCTGATGAAGGCGACCTCTGTGGTATTGTACATTTCACTGCCTTGCTTCTCTCTGGAGACTAGAACCTTTTAGTCTACTCCTTGATACTTATTCTAGAAGCATTAGCTCCCTCCAGTCATTCTCTTTAAATGTAAAGTTTAGCATGAACCCTAGTTACATTTTGCAGCACTGTATATTTATTTGAAAATTTAAATATGATCATAAATTTGTAAAAATGAAGCAGAGAAGGTTAACGTTCATCCAGCTAACCTAACAGTTGTATAGCTGTGTTCCTCATTTGGGCATCCCTGGTGACTCAGAGAGTAAAGAGTCTGCCTGTAGTATAAGAGACCTGGGTTCAACTCCTGGGTCAGGAAGATCCCCTGAAGGAGGAAATGGTTACTGACTCCAGTATTCTTGCCTGGAGAATTCCATGGATAGAGGATAGAGGAGCCTGGCAGGCTACAGTCCATGGGCTTGTGAAGAGTTGGACACGACTGAGTGACTAACACTTTCACTTAAGATCTCTGAATATTCATTGTTGTTTCCACAATTGAACTGATTATTTTTTCATCAGTGAGTCACTCAAAACAGGAGATTCCTGTTATTACTAAAGGAGATTATTGTTATTGCTAAACCATGGGATGAAGTTTACTACCATCCAATAGATTTTGTCCAGCCTTCTGATCATTATACTAGAAACCTTTTTTAGGAAGGTGAAAGGAAGAAACTGGATAATGAAGTGAAAGTATTAGTCACTTAGTCTATTATTCAATTTTATATGATTTTCTCAGAAGTTTTTCATTCTCATACAGTAGCTTTCTTTAGTATGTTTTCTCTAGTTAAAATGATTTCAATCTGATAGCTTTTGAGCTTTGAAATAAATTGCAACTAGCCATCTCCTTATGCCACCAGCACATATAAAGCAATTACATTTCCTTCTCTGTGGGGAGATCAGAGATTTAACGAGGAGATTTTTAAAAATATGTTTTCCAGACAATACTGAAGGTGACATCAATAGAGTAATGAAGAGTTTACAGAATGATAAGAACAATAATGAGATGACTTGAGGCAGTAAGAAAATGACTTTAGGAAATCATGAAGCTACCTGATTAGAAATAGGAAGACAACTACATTTAAGTCTACAGTTATCATATTTTGATCTGAATTGAGCATTAATAGCATATTGAGTGATATAAAAAGACTTGTTCTTTTTAAACTTTGTGCAATAAAATATCTTCCAAACAATCTGTGATTCTATAAAATAACCTTGAAACAGTAAATACAACAGTCTTCATTCAGCATTGCTAACATTTAAACAAGCAAAAGCTTTAAAAATTAAACCAAAAAAAATTGCAGTTAAGGAATGACAGAGTTAGTTTACATGTATTCACTTCTTTTTCTTCCAGCTTATTCTCCCTGATAAAGTAGTTTGGTAGATGGAAATATCTCTTACCTTACAGTATATGAAAATTGCTCATGAGGTTTCTAAAAGAAGGAAACTATCAGCAGTATTAAAATTGAAAGTGTGCAATTATAGAAAAAAAATAAGATTTTTGACAGTTTGAATTCTCTCCTTCAATATGTTCAATTAAGTCACCTAGAAAGGTGGCTCAACTTCTGGAATTGTAAGTTTCTTCATAAAAAAAAAAAAATGGACCTAATGATGTCTGTCAGGAAATCATGGTCATAATATCTGATGTATTTCAGGTATTGAAATAAATTAGTGGTTTTCTACCCTTTTTTCACCTTTTGGGGTAAATGAAGGAAACAAAAGAAAAAGAAGAGAAAATACTGTCATTAGAAAAATGTAGAGAATCATAAGAAAATGTGACCTTATTTTCCTATCCTCTGCTCCCTCAATTGGGAAAGTAAAAAAAGGAAAGGGAATTTCTTCTGAGTTTATTTCTCTACTTCAAGATTGAAACCCAGCTCTTGCTTATCAAACTACTGTACTCATTGGCCAAGAAGCCTTAGTCAAGGATTTTAAATAATTATAGACAGTATAAAACATCTCAGTAAAGCTGGGTTTGTAAGTACCAGAGAACATAAAAAGCCATTCTTATCTTGATTGGCATATCCTGTGGCATATTGAACTCATACACTCTGTCCTTTATGAGATGAAGTTGAGGAAGAACTGGAACAGTGAAAAACAAAAAGAAGCACTGGTCAAGGAACTGAATTGCAGAAGGCTCTTGTTTCTCCTAAAAGAAAGAAGTACTTTTATGTGCACCTCTGTACTATCAGTCATGTAGATGGTAATTTTTTTAAACTCATTGAGCATTTATTTTACTTTTGAAGAATATGAGTCCTAGATAGTTGCTGTAATTATTAGTTGCTTAATTCAGCCAGAATTAACTAGGAAGCATCCACAGGATTATACAGTATCAGTCTGTTACCATAGCAGAATAAACAATGACTCATCAAACTATTTAACCACCATTTTCTAGAAAAATTAATCGCATCACATAAATACTGAAATAGGTGAAATACAAAGCACTATAAACATTTTGTACAATGTTTTATTTCTCCACAATTTTGCTTGGTATCATTTATCAGCAATATTGGTACCTGTAGAGAAAAGACACTTTGTTCTCTTGTTTTCAAGGTTTTTTTCCCCCCATCAATCCTAGGTTAGGTCCTGTCCAGCCAGACAAGGGTGTTGGTTTGAATGCTGCAGCAATGGGCATCATGAGTCATTTACCCAGTGGACATGAAAAATATACCAAGTGAATTAACTTAAAATCATTGACATGAATTGGTTCGTAGCTAAGAAGCAGCTTTTAGAGAGAGATACCCTAAGTTGATAATGTTTTTTTAAGCCATTTGCTATAGAGGATGAAACTGTAGGATTGGAGCTCTTCATGTCAACTCCTTCCAAATAGTTATATCCAAAATAGCTCTTCTTTTCCTCTCTGCTTTCCTACCTACTGTTGAAACAACAGCAGAGATGATTCCTATCCTACTCCTTAATATGTGTAAAATTTATGAAAATAACTTGTAATCTGTAGACTCAATACTTGGATGATGTCTTCAGATGTAAACTTCCACCCTTTGTGTAATCAGGTTGTTTTCTCCAAATAAATCTGATCTATAAAATTAAAAAAAAGAAAAGCTCGTGGAATTTAATCCTAGTGAAAAGATTCCCCCCACTCTCCACCCAGGGGAATTTTAAGTGATTTCAAAAGGAAATGCACTTAAGAAACAAATGGTGGCTCAGTGACAAAGAGCCCATCTGCTAACACAGGAGACATGGGTTCAATCCCTGGGTCAAGAAGATCCTCTGGAGGAAGGAATGGCAACCTATTCCAGTATTCTTGCTTGGAAAATCCCGCAGACAGAGGAGCCTGGTGGGCTACAGTCTATGAGGTCTCAAAAAAGTCAAACACGACTTAGTGACTAAACACACACACAGATAAGGTTTTAACCATTCGTGATGGGAGTTAACTGTTGATTTTTGTTACAAATGTATGTCAAAAATAAGCAAAACTGAACACCAATTAAAATGATAAAGATCAATCTTATTCAGTAATGACTATTGCAATAGGATGAGTGTCCAACATAAATTGAAATCAGCTTCATCAAAACAAATGGTGAGAAACTTTAAAGGCTGCAATGTGCTTAGGGATGCTAAGCAGGGGTGCGGGGTTAGGGGATTTGAGATGGGGAGGAAGGGTGCATGTGTCTAGGCCTCCTAGTTTTAATAATTGATGCTCATTCCAGAGAAGATACTAACTTCTCTTATCCTTATGACTGAAGTTGTTTAATCACTAAGTCATCTCCAACTCTTTGTGACCCCAGGACTGTAGCCCACTAAGCTCACCTGTCCATGGGATTTCCCAGGCAAGAATCCTGGAGTGGGTTTCCATTTCATTCTCCAGGGGATCTTCCCAACCCAGGGATCAAACTCGAGTCTCCTGCCTTGGCAGATGGATTCTTTACCACTGAGCCACCAGGGAATCCTTTAGGACTGGAGTCCGTGATACAAATCAGAGCAAGATGCTCAAAAGGGCTGGGAGTAAGACTGACAGAGTTATCTCTTTGAATGTTTATATTTCAAAAGGTGACTTGCAGGTGCTCAAAAAACAAAACAAAACACTCTGTGTGGTAGAAGATTTACATGGCAAGGGTGCAAAAGAGAGGGAAAAAAAAAGGATTTATTTTGCAAACTTTCAAAAATAATTGCTCTAATATGGGGTTCAGGGGGTTGTCTGCCTATCATCAGGTTGTGGCTGAAACAAACAATGAATTCTCCTGACAGCTTCATGAGTCATGGAGCTTTCTCAGGCGGGCACATAAGGGGGGCTGAAATCATTCTAGGGATGCTGCTATGAGCTTTTAGAAACTGTACTATTTGTCCAAGTCTTTTATTGGGTTGAGAGCAAGGGGATGGGGAGAACATTAGACAATGAAATTGTTTCTGCTGAGAGTCTGCAGTTTTTACTGGCCAAGACTGAGGACTAGCTAAAAGGAAGATAAAGAGACTCTTGACTGGAGTTCAGTCAATGAGAGCAGCTTTCTCAGGTAACAAAAATTTAAAAGAAGCTACAGGATGATAGGTGTAGGGTTAAGGGAAAATTGGCAAGGGACTAGTGATACTATTGCCATTCAATTATATATGTTAATTTGCATATTTCAATGTGAATTTGTGTTTATCCTAAAATCTACGACTTAATTCTAAAGATAGTATCAGAAAGAGACATTTGAATAGTGAGTGAACAATCATACTTGAAATAAGCTAAAAGCATTGTAACAATTTTTTTCACCTGCTGTGTATGATGACATTACTTTACAGTAATTCTCTTGAAAAAGAATGTCAATTGAACTAAAATGGAGCAAATACTTTAAAACGACTGCTATTTTGAAATGATTATGATTATAGGTGAACAAACATACTTGGAGGAACCAAGAAATGAANCACCTGCTGTGTATGATGACATTACTTTACAGTAATTCTCTTGAAAAAGAATGTCAATTGAACTAAAATGGAGCAAATACTTTAAAACGACTGCTATTTTGAAATGATTATGATTATAGGTGAACAAACATACTTGGAGGAACCAAGAAATGAATCTCTTTTTTCTTTAAAATAATACCAAACTTGAATTGAATTCTTAGAGACAGCAGTTAATGTAGTCATTTTTCTTTTCTTATTGCTGTACCATCTTTTATGGTGATAAATGTGAAGAATAGTTGACCCATAAAGAACTTTTAAATCTGCAGAGAATATTTTTGAAAGCCTTAACTTTCCAGTCCAAGATTCATGGGGTCGCAAAGAGTTGGACATGACTGAGTGACTGAACTGAACTGAATATAGTAATATATAGCAAGAGTTAATATAATGGTTGCAAAAATAATTGCCGGCTATTTTTGTCAAGTGCATAAATATGATACTTTGAAATTTCCCAAGTGGACAGATACTAGATCAATTTAGGGACAGTTGTGTGTTTTTGGATGATTTTGTTAAATTTTCTTATTCAATATGTGTTTTTAACTGCCTACTCTATGCTAGAGTATGGGATATACATGGGATATATGGGATATATATGGGATATACATGGTAAACTATGTATGGGATATACATGGTAAACAGAAAGGATGTTTGTATATTCTCATAGATCCTACTATCTTGTGATGAAGTAGAATGATAAATGTATCGAATGTGTAATTATAAATCAGTGCCTTCAAGAAAAATTCTTTCTTTATCACACTATTATCATCTGTGCAGTCAATTTTAGTTGCTCATCATTTCAGCCCAAAATGCCAGGTCAAGTATTTTTGTGTATTGTTTATTCTATTTCTATGGCCTCATTGAATTAATAATAATAAATATATGAGGTACAGTGTATAATTTACCTGAATAAATATCTGTAGTCAGTAAAGGATAAACTAATCCATTCTGGATTATAATTTTAAATCAGACTATAGATGTAGAAAACAATACATAGATATATACATACATATATAAATGCATGTGCCTGCATATTTATAAACAGTGTGATAATCAAATTTTCATATCTTCAGTATATGTGTTTCTCTTTTGGAAGCCCCAAAATTCTGATTTTGCAAATTGCTAAAAGACTGAGCATAATCTTTCCAGTAATAACAGAAACACTTTACTCACTTCAGTTCTATGGAGTACAATAAAGTGTACTCTAAAATTTAGAGAAATGCAAATGTTCCATTCCCAATTGATATCATTAGCCTTGCTATGCTTGTCATGTCTGACTCTTTTCAGCTCACCAGGCTCCTCTGTCCATGGGATTTCCCAGGCAGGTATACTGGAATGGGTTGCAATTTCCTTCAGCAGGGGATCTTCCCAACCCAAGGATTGAACCCATGTCTCTTACCTCTCTTGCACTGGCAGGCAGATTCTTTACCACTAGCACCACATGGGCAGCCAATTTGTATCATATAGAATTTTATTTGATCATTGGATACATTTTTCATCATCCCTACCACTTTAGGACTAAATTTTTAAAAAATCTGAAAAGATCTTAATTTATTTATAATCTTTAATTCTAGATTTAAAGAAATGAGTTCAATGATTAGTATTTAATTGGACAAAACAATTGATGCTGTCCTATTATCTGTTCCTCTCCTTTTATAGATGAATGTTCACTGAACAATGGAGGCTGTAGCAACCACTGTTCTGTAATTCCTGGAAGAGGAATTGTCTGTTCCTGCCCTGAAGGACTTCGACTTGGCAGAGACAATAAAACGTGTGAAATTGTAGATTATTGTAGCAATCATCTAAAGTGCAGTCAAGTGTGTGAACAGCACAAGCAGATAGTCAAGTGCTCATGTTATGAAGGGTGGACCCTGGATGTGGATGGTGAAAGTTGCACAAGTGTTGGTAAGTAGATGTATGTTTCACTATGTTTAAGACTAGCAAGTTGTATGTGTTTCTGTATTGTGTATCTTGCTATATTTAAGAATGGATATTTAGAAAAGAATCCAAAAACAACTCAGAAAATTACTAATGGATTTGGTTAATTTTAGAAAAGGCGTTAGAGTATAATGCACCATATTAGACCTATACCAAAATCTTTTGGACCAAAAATATTACAACAATCCTTTACCACTACAAGGCATCTGATTATCTTTTCTTTAAATACCTGCTTTTGTCATCTTGCTTCCCAGGTGCTTATTTTTCTATGCTCCAAAGCATTTACTTTTATTTATTTTTGAATGCTTTTTATAACCCCATAAAGTCTGGCCCTGTCCCACACTTCATCTGAATCTCTGTGCTTAGTCTTTCGTGTCCAAGTCTCTGCAGCCCCATGGACTGCAGCCCGCCAGGCTCCTCTGTCCATGGGGATTCTCCTGGCAAGAATACTGGAGTGGGTTGCCATTCCCTCCTCAGGGGATCTTCCCAAACCAGAGATCAAACTCAGGTCTCCCACACTGCGGGAGGATTCTTTACTGTCTGAACCACCATCTGTATCTCTACTGCTCTTAAAAACAGCTTAACTCTGGCTGTTTTCATCTCTTGCTTGCCCATTTAAGACATTCTGCTGATTCTCTAGGTCACATTCCACAGTAGGAAAAGCAAGTGAAGGCTATGGAATGTGCCAAAATTTGAAATCTAATCCTGTAGCTGGCAATCATAGTGTATTTGACCCCAGGCAGGTCACCCAAAACTTTTCAGCTTTGGTTTTCTTATCTTTCAAATATCAATGCCCAGCCCAACAACATGTTGCAAAAAATGACAAGAAGCACTTTTACTATGCCCCACACTGGTTCAGTGCTTAGTGAATGATGGTTTCCCATTAACTTCTCTAGATTATTAGTCTGACTCACTGGGCACTAAGAGGTCCATGGATAGAATTGGAGGGGGTCCATGAAGTCTCTTAAGGACAAATTTTGCACTTTTATTTTCTTTACTCTCTCCCTGAAAGTTAATATTTCTTTCAGTTGTGAATGTATGCCACAACCAGTTTTTAGCAGCAACAATGACTATGTCTCAGTGAAGTGACCACTGTGAAATATCACTGTGAAGTAATAGACATATTCACATCATGTTAAAAGTTGTTGCTAATATCTCAAAATCTCTTACTCTCAGGCTTTGAAAACCACTGCTCCTTCAGTAATAGGAGTCATTTGACCTACTGCTTAATCTTGTTACTGAATGTGTTAATTTTAAAAAGCACGTATATTCCTCCATCAAAAACTGTTTTTGTTGATATGATAAATGTACTTGAATATATTTGATTCATTTTTCTTTACCTTTGTTATACTTTTTTCCAACTGTTTTTGGACTCTAAAAATTTCTGATTAGGAGTACCCAGGCTTCTTGAAGCTCCTAAGAACCCATATATCATAAACATTTTTTGCTTTTTTTCTTCTACTTAGATTGTACTTTCCCTCTTTGTTTCTAAAAATTCTGGATATTTTTAAAACCTACTAGCTCAAATCTTTCTTCTTTAATGGAGTCTTCTTCCAAACATGCTGACTCTCTCCACTTATTTTTCCTTTCTATATCTAGAATTTGTCTAAAGAAATATATGGCCATATTTATTTATTTATAATTTTATTTATCTCCCTGCTTTACTCTTTACTTCTCCATTAAAGTAATAGATGTCTTGAAGTCAGAAATCAAGTTATAGATTTTTCTCTTGTGTTTTACATAGTATCCAATAAAGTAATATGCAATTAAAAGGATGATTTCTTCAGAGAATATTAAATTATTTTATTACTTTTTTCAAATGCTGTCTTGTAGTTGTTTTCTCCTGTTAAAATTTGAGTCCTAGAGGCATAAATTTAGCAAGCATTCCTTTGACTTTTTCTCTTACAGAATTCTTAGACAACGAAATTAGCAAAAAAATAGCAGTTTATTGAAATAAAAATAACCATTTCATATATATATTTGGAGTAGGGGAATGATAGATCAAACTTAGACATATAATCATGTTTTACAAGAGAATTGGCTCCATTTATGGTTTTGGATACAGATGACAAAATGATCGACTTATTATGGCTTTGTACTCTATGAAATCAGTTTAACTCAAGTTAAATATTAGAACAATTCAATTTTTGAATATAAGTTACCAGGTGCAAAGATAACTCTTCTAATGGAGTTGACCCCTTCTACTCTCAGCTTAGAAAGAAAATCTAATAGTACCATGTCATTTATCAGTGTTAAGATTGCTGTGTATCACACCTAGTTTTGTTTAAAATTTAACAGAGAGTCAAAATTATATTTCACCTTTTAAATTAGTATGGACTTTTGTTTGCTGGAAGATTTCTGATTACAATTTCAATTTCCATGCTTGTGATAGGTCTGTTAAGATTTTTATTTCTTCCTGGTTCCATTTTGGAAAGTTATGCTTTTCTAAGAACTTGTCCATTTCTTCTAAGTTGTCCATTTTCTTGGCATATAGTTGCTGATAGTAGTCTGTTATGATCCTTTGTATTTCGGTGTTGTCTGTTGTGATTTCTCCATTTTCATTTCTGATTTTGTTGATTTGATTCTTCTCCCCCCCTTTTTTTTTCTTTTCTTTTTTTAATGAGTCTGGCAAATGCTTTGTCTATTTTATTTATCTTCTCAAAGAACCAGTTTTTAGCTTTGTTGATTTTTGCTATGGTCTCCTTTGTTTCTTTTTCACTTATTTCTGCCCTAATTTTTATTTCATTCCTTCTACTAACCCTGGGGTTCTTCATTTCTTCCTTCTTTAGCTGCTTTAAGTGTCAAGTTAGGTTATTTATTTGACTTTTCTCTTGTTTCNAGAGTAAAGTAAGTCAGAAAGAAAAACACCAATACAATATACTAACACATATACATGAATTTAGAAAGATGGTAATGATGACCCTATATGTGAGACAGCAAAAGAGGCACAGATGTAAAAAGAGTCTTTTGGAGTCTGTGGGAGAAGATGTGGGTGGGATGATTTGAGAGGGTAGTGTTGAAACGTGTGTATTATCATATGTGAAGCAGATCGCCAGTCCAGGTTTGATGCATGAGACAGGGTGTTCAGAACTGGTGCACTGGGATGACCCTGGGGGATGGGATGGGGAGGGAGGTGGGATGGGGTTTCTGAATGGGGAACACACGTGCGCCCGTGGCTGATTCATGTTGATGTTTGGCAAAAAAACACTATAATATTGTAAAGTATTTAGCCTCTGATTAAAATAAATTAATTAATTTAAAAATAAAAATAAATAAAATTAGTATAGAGCTTTTCTTATGTGGAAACATTTTCCTGCTAATAATTTAGCACCTTCCTATTATACAGTATACTAAATACCATTGCCAGCATTTATATTGTTGCAGATAACAAAGGTTTTGTTAGGTATTAAAAGTTATTTTTTTTATTTAAACCAATTTTCACATATAAAAAGAAATTGATTCTGTCTTTCATTCACATCACTTCTTTTTGAAAAACCTAGAGCAAATTCATAGTTCAATAAAATGGACTGAGTATTAGCTATTGGGCTTTAAAAGTAAAATTTCTTTTTTCTTGATCTCTTTTGTTCCTTTTTTCCATCATTCCTAAGCTGAGTGCTTCTTTTTAAAATGTGTTCTTTTTATTGAATGCAATATCTGTGATTAATCTTCTTGACATTTTAAAAATAAAATAATAATACTCTTTGTCTCAAATTAGAAGCATGACTCACTCTTTTATTTTCCTCTTGAATTTTCCTCTGTAGTTGTCTCATTATTTTCTCTTTTCTAATAATTTCTTCCTAAATTTTTGGCTGAATTGTTGAACTCATTATTCTATTTTTTTCTAGGTTCACTTTTAACATTTCACTAGTTAACTATAATATGATTTTCAAAAGATTTTTTAATGATTGTTATTTTTTATTTAATATGCCTGTAAACCTCACTTCTCTTAGGCACTTGGATACTTTATTTTGTCAGTTCCTTATATATTCCCTCTTCAGTACATAATTTGTTAATCGCCTTTCTCCTAAGTATTTTATTTTTACTTATAATAACCTAGAATATTTCTACTGACTGCACATCTCTTCTATCTCTTGTTTCTTTGCTGTTTGGCAGGTAGGCTACTTACAAATTATTAGCATATTTCTAGTAACATCAGAAAGAACATTGAAGCACCCCTCTTTTATTTTCTCTTGGCCTGATTAGGTTAGATTTACTCACCAATGTATTTCTTTGTTTTAATCAAATTTTCTTAAATATTTTTAAAATTCTATTTTAAAATTTATCTTTTTTTTAAAAAAATGAGATCATGGATATAAATAAAAATGTATAAACATAGTTACCACCTATTAGTACACTGTGTCCATCACCTAAACTTTCTACATTTATGTTTGAAGCTCCATTTTATTTTATGTTTTATTGAGTTATATTTGATTGGGAGCTCCATTTATATCATCTTTTTCAGAGTTCCATTTATTTTATATTTTTATTGAGTTATAGTTGGTTTGGAGCTCCATTTATAACTTGAGCTTTTTTTTTTTTTTTTCTTAATTTAAGCATTGTTTTGCACCCAAACTTTAATTCTATGAAAAAAGCATCTGTACTGCAGCACAGACTGGGAGTTGCACATATTGTCTTGATGATGGCAGTACTCACTCTGGCCTAATTTTTGTCATCCTCCTGTTTCTAAACTCCAGTAGTTTTTGATGAACAAGGAGGCCTGGCGTGCTGCAATCCATGGGGTCGCAGAAAGACAGGCACGACTGAACTGAACTGTTCGACAGCTTGTGAGAAGTAAAATATTAAAAAGTTGAAGGAATATGGTATTTTTATTGTAAAGAGAGAAGTAATCTAATCTGGAAGATGAGAATTAATGGAAAGAATTTAGTAAGAATAAGAACATAGTAAGAATAAAATGATGTTTATAAGTAGATAGTCTATCTTGGAGAACAATGGAAGATAACCGTGAA